GTGTGACCTGCGTGTCGAAAGTTGAGATCCGTTTGTGGTTCTGTGCAAAGAAGTGCAAACGATACACAAGCATTAGGTGGCATTAAGGTTGTTGTTTTTTTTAATCAAGATTATGAGCCCTGTGTGTTTTTGGCTGTGGACGGAAGGTATGCGTTTGTGTTAACTTTTCACTTCCTTCACCCTTTCCCAGGGTCTGGGATGTTTCAACGGCTTCATGGCCTCCATGCTGGTGGGATACCTCCTGGCCACCCACAAGATCAGCAAAATGATGAGTGCATATCAGGTGCTGCGAAACGCCCTCCATTTCTTAGGTAAGTTGCTCCGACAAGAATAAAACATGCTTTGCTAGCAGCACTGGCCCATGCGCAGTTTGTATATATAAACTGTCCTCAGAGCTGCAGCCCATGAAGGGAATCAGGGCCCCTTCCTCCCTCATAGACCACGCCATTCACGTTTCTCCCTTAACCTCTCCTCCCTGCATGACCTAGGATGAAGAGGGGATGGGCCTGGGTCTTCCTCTGAACGCCCAGCCAGCCTGTGCCCTTCCCCAGCTTCCTCCACAACCTCCAGAGCCACACTTCCACTCCCTGTTCGTCCTCTCCCTCAGAGTCAGACTCCAACGGAGGCATGACACAGTGAGGAGGTTGTGGAGGAACATGGGCCAGTCCTGGAGTCTGGGGAAGGCTCTGATGAGGGCTCTGCCTCAGAGGCAGAGATGGGTCCAGGGCTGTCCGACAGTTAATCAGCTGCCTTTGGAGTCGGAGATCAGTGAGGCAGAAGAACAGCTGGAGCCTGTTCCCAGTGTGCGCATGCACAGAGCTGCCAGAAGAAGGGAACAGCTGAGGAACAAGGGCCGACTTGGGAGTAAAGCTACAGTGTATGGTGAATGGCCCCTCCCCTAGAGAATAAAAGAGGAGCGAAAGGGGAGTGGGGCTTTCCAGGAGACAATTAGTTCATGCTTGCTAAGTATTGTGGCACCTGAAAGATATTGGCCTGGCGCCTCTCCAAGCCTGATAAAGGTCTGTAATTGGGAGCTATCTTGAAGGACTGTTGGCCGGGACTTTGCTGGAAAGGAAATTCTTTGTAAATTAAATAAAAAGGGTTTATCGGGATGAGGACTCAGCTTTGTGCTGTTGGGGAAGCCTAGGTCAGAAGAGTTGGGTCAAACTTTAGATGGAATCTGTGTGGGAGGGAGGGAGGGAGAAAGGAATGGGTTTTTTTTTTTTATTGTTTTCCCTTCTGAGGAATTACCTCTGTGAAGGAAAGGGAGCATGCAGTTTTTCTGAAGTGCTAAAATGCTAGGTGTAAGATGATGCAGCAAGGAGGTACATAAATAAATGGAAGGATAAAGGAGCTACGCAGAATCCAGAGAAGCAATTCCTTTGGCAGATATATATTCCCTTCCCATCCCATCTTTTTTCCTTCCCTCCCTCCCTCTGATTTCTTTTCCTTTCCTTCCCTCCCTCCCTCCCTCCCTTCTCTGATCCCTTCCCTTCCCTTCCTGCCTTTTCTCCTTCCCTCCCTCCTCCTGTAATGTCTTTTCCTCCCTTCTCTCTCTCCCTCCCATCCCATCTTTTTCCTTCCCTTCTCTGAGTTTGTTTGTTTCCTTCCTTCCTTCCTTCCTTCCTTCCTTCCCTTCCCTTCCCTTCCCTTTCCCTTTCTCTTTCCCTTTTCCTTTTCCTTTTCCTTTTCCTTCCTTCCTTCCTTCCTTCCTTCCTTCCTTCCTTCCTTCCTTCCTTCCTTCCTTCTGCTTGGGCAGTTTGAGCTTTCTGAGTTGGCGCAGAAAGAACATTGTTGTGCTTTTTTGACGACGTTTTTGATGTTAGGTGTCCATTTTAGGCCATGTGATATAGTAGAACCTAGAAATTTGAAGGTCTCTACTGTTGATACGGTGTTGTCTAGTATTGTAAGAGGTGGTAGTACGGGAGGGTTTCTTCTAAAGTCTACCGCCATTTCTACGGTTTTGAGTGTGTTCAGTTCCAGATTGTTCCGTTCGCACCACGAGGCAAGTTGTATAACCTCCCGCCTGTATCCGGATTCGTCAAATTCATGGCAACTGACTCATATTTATGGCGGTTGCAGTGTCCCGGGGTCACTTATCCAACTTTTGCGACTTTTTGATAAACAAAAGTCAGTTGGGGAAGCCAGATTCGCTTAAAGACCCTGTGACTAAATTAACAACTGAAGCGATTGACTTAACAACGGTGGCAAGAAAAGTCGTAAAATGGGAGAAAGCGAACTTAACGAATGTCTGGCTTAGCAACAGATATTTGTTGTAAGTCAAGGACTACCTGGAACTGCCTCCTTTTTTTATACCGCCCTTTAACTTTTGATCTCCGTTGTGGACGTAAGTCAAAAACTACCCGTAGGATGGGGGACTCCAAAGTGATTAATTCCCTTTTTCTTCTTCCTTCCCAGCTACTACTGATCTTACTACATCTGGAATCAGCCTCTCAAAAGACAGAGAACCCAGCCTGGTAAGAGAGACCTCTGAGTTATTTACTGATGGATTCAGCTGGAGATGGAGGATCACATTTTAAGCTTATTATGTAAAAAAGTAAAAATGTTGATTATGTAAAAAAGATGTTGAGACTCTAGAAAGAGCGTAGAGAAGAGCAACAGAGATGATTAGGGGACTGGAGGCTAAAATATGTAAAGAACGGCTGCTGGAATTGGGTATGTCTAGTGTGGTGAAAAGAAGGATTAAGGGGGAATGTGATAGCAGTCTTCCAAGATTTGAGGGGCTGCCCCAAAGAAGAGGGAGACAATCATATTCTCCAAAGCCCCAGGCAGGATAAGAGGCAACGGATGGAAACTAATCAAGGAGAGGACCAGCCTAGAACTAAGGAGACATTTCCTGTCAGTGAGAACAATTAATCAGTGGAACAATTTGCCTCCAGAGGTTGTGAATGCTCCAACACTGGAAGTTTTCAAAGAAGAGATTAGATAACCCTTTGTCTGAAATGGTAGAGGGTTTCCTGCCTAGGCAGGCGGTTGGGCTAGAAGACCTCCAAGGTCCCTTCTACCTATTCTACTATTCTATATTCTATTCTGTTCTGTTCCATTCCGTTCCATTCCATTCCATATTTTCTTTCCTATTCCATTCCTATTCTTTCCTATTCTATTCTATTCTATTCTATTCTATTCTATTCTATTCCATTCCATTCCATTCCATTCCATTCCATTCCATTCTATTCCTATTCTATTCTATTCTATTCTATTCTATTCTATTCTATTCTATTCTATTCTATTCTATTCTATTCTATTCCAATCCATTCCATTCCTATTCTATTCCTATTCTATTCCTATTCCATTCCTATTCCTATTCCTATTCTATTCTATTCTATTCTATTCTATTCTATTCTATTCTATTCTATTCTATTCTATTCTATTCTATTCTATTCCATTCCATTCCATTCCATTCCATTCCATTCCATTCCATTCCAT